TGAGATAAACTCACCAGATGATTCTAAAAACAGAGCCCTGTCTACACTCTCATCTACCTGAGCCTGAGAAAATAAACATGTAATCATGACTACAGAGTTAAAACATATCAAAACTAAAAGAACAACAGAGATCTAATCCAAGTCCCACAGTTTCTCCATAAAGAAGGCCCTCAGCAAAAAGCTCAAGAGCCTGACAGCACAGATCAGCCAGTGGTAAAATCAAACCTAAAACCTAGATCTCCCGGTTACTATCCTCAACTTTCTGTCCACTGAGGCCTAATCACTTCATCATGATGCTATAGAAAACAATCACAGGGCATAGCTGGACCTGTGCAAGGGTGTCCAACCTACAGCCCACAGGCTGCATACTGATTTTGTGAGGATTTTTTTTTTGCTTATCTATGCGGTCAGATATCACAAGAAGTATACACAGATCTTTTTTTTCCTAATCAGCTTTTGTTAGCGTTTGTACCACCCAAGACATCTCTTATTCTTCCAATGTGCAGCAGAGAAAAAAAAGGTTGGACATTCCTGATAGTTCACACTAAACCAAGGGACTAACGTGGTCCAAATGGACTCAGGGTTAGAAAGTGAGCAGGGTGAACGCAGAGGAGAGGTCTGGGGAGCTAAGACACGAATGCACTACTCATGTTGCTGTACATTAAGTTTCCTCTTCTTCAGTTTTCTAAATTTTCTGCTCTATAGTAAATATACATTGCTTTTGAAATAAAGTTTGTTTAGTTATTTTATTTATGGTGTGATGGAATGTAAAGACAGGCCATGTGGTATAATAGAAAAATCATGGTGAATTGGGGGTGAGACAAATGAGGGCTCCAAAAGCTCCACCACTACTTACAAGTTGTGGGACCTTGGGCAAGTTGTTAAGCCTAACTGAACCTCCGTTTCCCCTTAACGTGGGATGAGGATAAAGGAAAACTCGCTAATGTGTAACCATGTAGCACAGGAAAAAAACATAGCACAACGCCTGGCACATATCAGACACATAAAAAAATGGTAAGCAGTATCTGAACCACATCCACATCTGTGGTTAGATCCTAAACCGTCAGATGATGCCTCGGCCCCTGAGAAGATTACTTCATTTCATTCCATGCTCCTGTCATTTGTGGGTCCCAGTAAAGTTTACAGGACAAGGGAATGGCTGCTGACTTTCTGGGTTCTGAAAGACAGTAAGTGCCAACATGGAAAGGAATCACTTTTCTGCCATCTGATGTGTCTCTGGAGCGCTTTGACTAACTGAAGCTGATTGTCAGCTATCAAGTGTGAGCAAGTACCAACCACAACATGGAATGGTATAAGTCTTTTTTTAAGAGACTTCTTTCATCAATAACAACAAAAACTTTTGAGAGTGATGAGGGAACTCAGCACTGACACTTCGCAACTCCCCTTCACTGAGAGCTTCACACACAGCATTGGGTAGAAATAACTGTGGACTGAGAATGAGAGTATCTGTCTCTTTCCCAGCTCTGTATTGTGACCATAAGTGAGTCATTTCACCTCTGCGGATCTTGGTTTCCCTTCTGTAAAATGGGAGCTTTGAACCAGATGAATTTTAGTTTTAAAATCCTGTGGTCTGATTCCTACACGTTTTCAAGGCCTCCTGTGGCCAGAGCCCAGGCATTCCTGGTACACATCGCCCTCTCCCCAGCAGGCTCCATCTGCTCTGCAGAACACTCGCTAGGCTCACTCGGGGTTTCTCCTCTGCTTTGCTCTGCAGTGCATATGGGGTGTGAGGCTCGCCCTTCCACTTACCCACTTCCTGTCACCCTGGCAGACTCAACACAAGTCTCCCCCACGAGACATTCTCTCTGACCATTTCAGTGTTCTCTTATCTTACTATCCTTTGGATATTGTTTAATATATCTTTATAAGACTTTCTGGACTGGACTGGAAAATGCATGGAAGGCTGGGCTTCAAGTCTGAGAACATTTCCACATCCTCCACATACCAACATAGTGATACACATCCTGAACCTTCCTGTGCCCTTTTGTGAAAAAGATACCACCACCAACAGTTCCTAGAGCTGCTGGGCAGAATAAATGAGGCAGTAACGTGACAGGGCCTAGCACTTTGACTAGGAAATCAAATACTAATTTTCTTCTTTTCCTCCCTCTTTATGTATTTGGTGACAGGTCTTCCCCACAAGATGGTCTACTGAAAAATGTCTTCATTTGAGAGATGGAAATCTAGATTGTGCTAGTAGCCTAAGAGGATCTTGGGCAAATCCCAATTTCTCTGCAGCTTTCATTTTTACAAATGAAGGTAATGGCACTTATTCTTGCTTCTTCTGATTGGAGGAGAAAACGAGATAATTCACGAGAAAGCACTTTCTTCGGAAAATCTACCAGCATTATTATTTTTCATAAGTCCTAGTTTCAGAAAGAAAAATCTTAAAACAGCACAGAGATAGCAAGATGTTGACGTTAACGGGTGATTTGATGATGACTGTGAAAATCTCACTCTTGATACCGACTAGAAATGTCAGAAAGTTGTATTAGTGTTCCTTGGGGTACAAAAACACAGGTACTGAAAAGATTAGGAAGCTTTCTTTTTTGAATGCAGTCACCTGGGGCATTACTCATTTCCCAGGCTGGCATATTTCCTAAGTTAAACCTCATCATAAACACACCTAGGGAGCTTGGTAGGCCTCAGAATCTGGGCATATCCATTTGACAGTGCTAACTGCATACTAATAAAAAAAAAAAAGACATTAAAACCTTTGTATTAACCTTTGTAAATAAACTTCATTATTATCATCTCTTCTCCATTAAAAGTATGTTGAGATTAGAGGTGTAGCAATAGAAAAATATAATCCCCAAAATAAAGAGGGGTGTTTTTTGTATGTATCAATAAAAGTTATCACCATAGGTTGAGTAATATAATAAAATGTAAGAAAGAACTTTTGTACATAGCAAGGATTAAAATTTTTCTATAAACGTTTCTGTACCCAAATCATTTAGTGGATAAAAAAATGGAAAACATGATTAGGGAAGGTAACTTGGAAAGAAGCATTTTGGAAGAAAACAAGAGCATCAGACATTGCTAACAAAAAAGATTTTAGAATTATCACTTAAGGAGTTTGCTTTTCTTCCATTTCAGAATGTAATCATCTGGATAGGTAGCTAAGTAGAGGGTGTGTGCTTGTGTGTGTGCTTGTGTCTTACAAATGAGAGAAAGACAGAGAGGGAAAGAGAGAGAGAGAGTGTGTGTGTGTGTGTTGGGGAGAGGCAGAGATTTAATTTCTGTGCATTTCTTAGTTTTCAAAGTCAATTAAGGAACACCTATCCAAAAAAGATCACCACTCTGGTAAGAAGTCACGGAAAAATGTTTTCTTTTATGTTATTTCGTTAAATATCTAACTGCATTTTAAAAAGCATTTCAGCTTTAATACTTAGTATAAATATGCCCTGACCATAATTTGTGATACATTTTATAAGTAACTGAAGGAGATTTCATGCATCACTAATTCATACATATAAATGTGAAGTCTGCATTAAATATCTCTAAACAAAACCCCATTTCCTTGCTATTTTTAGAAGGAATAGGCCAAAGAAGAGACGAGAGGACTCTTATTACAAAGACTGACCCTTTTAGAATTAAGGCTATTCTGTTTTGAGCATCAACTTGCTACTAAAACATCGAGGGTACCAGGATTTAAAAAGATCTGGAAATACTACAATGGTTGATTGGCTTAAAAAATAACATGTTAGAACCAGGGAGAGCAGTGATTAGAAGGAGCTGGCAACACTCCAGAGTTCCTTTTTAGTACTCTTTTAAACTCCTTTGGCTCCCAATTCTCATCTCACACCATTTTTAGGTTTATGCCAAATCAACCAGGATACTGGTATTAAAAAGTGTAGAAAAGATACAAGCAGCATACTACCCAAATATACTCAAAATCACTAAAACTTTTCAGGCCCTGCCTTGTTTGGCTACACTAAAATACATGACAGAATCTTCTGGAAGATGAGCACATTTTATAGCTTTGGGGAACATATTACAACATTTATTGCTTACACTGGTATTTTCTACAGCCTTTCTGTCAATAAAAGTGGAATTTTTAAGATGTAATGTAGGTACAGTTTCATAGTTCAAATTTCCATTAAGAGAAAACTGAAAAGGGCAAATAAATGATTGCAAAAATGCACGCTTCAACCATAATGACAAACAGAATAGGCGTTTCTCAAGCATAAGAGAAAGGTGATTGTTCTATCATTTTATTAATATAGTTAATAAATCACAGTTTTATACAGTCGAGGAAAAAAAAAACTCCTCTAACATGTCAACGTTATCTAGCAGCTTATTTAAAAAATAAAACAAAACAAAACCTCAGATTGTTTTAATTATCTTAGAGTTCCTACATTTGTACCTCTTCAAGTAATAGTTTATCATATTGTAAATACTAAGAAAATGTTTAGATGCTTTAGTATTTTTTAGTCTAGAAATACATAGAAAATGCTGATTTCCCTAGAGATACCATTTTTAGCCACCTAAACAAAATGTAAAACACTATTTAGCAACATTCCTCTTCTATAGCTGAATACCTTTGAACGAGATAGGCCTATGCTGTTTTAAATTGTAAGTTGAAGTCTAGGAAAAACAAAGTCTACACAACACTTATAAGGCCATGGAGTCATTTAGTGTTACTTGTTTAAGCCAAATATATTCATAATTAAATAATAGTATTGTGTTAAATAGCAACCATTCTTAATCATGGTTTAAGTCTGATAACCAAAATCAAAAATTTAATGCCCATACAAAATACATCTCACCAACTAACCAGTGCAAAGCTCTAAGCTTTAAACTTTTTGATAGTGTCAATAAAATCCCCAGGAAAGGAGAATATTACAACTCTCCCTGCAACATAGGTGTCTTAAATCATGGTTAAACAGACAGCATGTTAAGAATGGTATGGTTTTTATTTTCTATAGCAGGTTTATTGACACTTTTTTTCCTAGTAAAATTTGAAAATCTGACACTACCTGTCCACATAGAAGGGGAAACAAAACTTGGTCAAAGTCTGTAGAACTTCCTGTGGAGAGAAAGAGAGATAATTTATACATCTAATGGGACCAATAAATCTAACATTAACCACAGCACACATCTAGCAACTTTACCCTAAAGAAAGAGGAGACAGATGAAGAAATATGGGCTTTATCAATTACATGGGAGGAGTACTAGGCAGTCAATCATGAGAAATAATAAACATGATCAAACTTCATTAAAAATGAAAAATTAATCAAGAATCACACATGGGCAAGCAGCAGGAGCCTCGCAGGAAGGCTCTGAAGGGAGGGAGGCGGTTGGGTTGCTGAGTGTTAACACCCCTCCAGGGACCATCTCCAGCCTGACCATATGGATCAGAGTGAATAACACCGAGCCACATGGGTTTGGCCTGGCAGGGCCGCTGTTGCTGGCACCGTTTTTGCCTGTTACCTAGGAACAGAGGGGGCCGGGATTAGACAACGCTTCCCAACATCAATAGGCCAAATCACAGCAGAATAGAAAGCCAACTTGAAGATAATTGTCCCTGAACATTGTCAACTACATGTTTTAGAGTTTAAAATTTCATGGACTTACTTTATAAAGAAGTTGCTGTTTCTGGCATAAATTTATTTTGGAACCAAATTATAATAATTTTAAGTATGCACTATTTCTAGTTAAATATCATTATCAAAATTGAACATACTTACCTGCTTGTAATTTACCAAAATCTAAAGCAAACTACCAATTTAAACACAAACATACAGGTACATGAAACCAAGCACATTATTCAGGAGTAGGGTACAAAACGGAGAGTGACATCTCAAAGACTTATTCACATTAAGAAACAAATAAATACTAGCAGATGTGACACAATATACAGAGGTGTCTGAATTTTCCTAAAAGACAAATTTCACATATACAGCATATACATATATAAGTTGTTAATTATTATTTCCTTCACAGAATATCTTAAGCTTGACTTGATTTAACTGCAGGCTTAGAGAGCCCACAGTTGGTGCTTATCATAAGTTCATAGACCAGTGTTATAAATTTTAAAAAAGTGTTCCTTTCATGCATTTGATTTGCCTTTTAACTATTTAAAAACCCAACTTCAAGACAAAATGAAGAACACATTTTTCAGTCGCTGAGAAGCTGGTTCAAATTAAAACAAACCTCCCCATTGCAAATCCTAATCCAAGTGATAAATTAGAGATCAGTTTACAAATGTAGCACTTTTCTAACCAATAATAATGAATTATCAATGCTAACTGAATTGATGCTTCTCGCTTCATTTATTTTTAAAACCAGTTCTATCATTCAAGAAATAAACCACATCAATCTAATAACCCACTCAATGAAGCAGAAAGCACATTGACTTGCTCTGCCAGATCATGTTCCGCCTACATAATTCAATTGAGCATATCCTATTTTTTAATATCATCTTGGACTGGTACTATGTATATCACAGTACTGTTAAGGCATGTCGTGAAATAATAAATGAATAGAAAAATACAAAGTGAAAAAGTAGATAAGAACATCTCACCCTGGTCTAAGAGGCATTGTTTGTACATTTTAAATTTTATTATGTAGCATTCAGAAGTTCATATATATACTGTTTTTAAACTAGTCATGTTTAAATAAATTGCAATAAGTAATAAAGAATCAGAACAAAGGTGATTTCTCATAATGTTATTATCAGAGAAATACAGAAAAAGAGAACATATAAAACATTCATTTCAATGTCTGCAGTTTTAATTACAAAATATACACGACATATAAATATAATCAACATACATAAAACCTTCATGATTTACACGCACACAAAAAAATCCCTTACAAATTTCATTCTAGTTCCAGTTTCAAATAATACCACAAAGCATTCCTTAACTTCAGGATATGTACCAGCCATTCTTTAAAACTCAGTACCAAGTGCTCACTCATTGCCAATAACACTACAAAGACAGCTATCTTTTACCCCTCAAAAGTTACAGGTGCAGAAAGCACTTCTCTACTCTATGCTGGAGTTGCGCCAGCAAAAGGCCTCAAAGATTTTTGAAAGAAAGGACCCCCATGGCTACGAGAAAGCATTGTGCTCTACAGCAGAGTCAAAGGAATCTAATATGCCCAACTTATTACTCGCTACAATATAGAAACTACTTACCGATTTCTAATGTCAAGAGTAATAACCAACCTTGAACTTGTCTGTCAGATAATATTAGAACAAATATCAAAATACCCAATGTAGGCTGAATGCAACCCACCTCCCATGAGCTTTCTTTTTTACCCAAGAAGGCAGAGATAAGTCTAATTAAGCAACGGGGCAGGGGGAGGGGAAGCGGAAAGGGAATATAGGCAAATGTAGGCACATGTTTGTACATTACAATATGTTTCTTGGTGTTTGTGATATTACAAGAGCTTGATATTCCAATTTAAGTCAAACAAGATGGTGGTGTGCTGTCAGAAGAGAGAACAGAAATGAGCATCTACTGTTAGGCATATTTACACATTACCTCAATCAGAACGGAGACATCTAATTCTTAGTTTGGGGAGGGGAGGACTGGAAGAGGGAAGGAAAAACAAGCAATGTTCTCCATAAATAAAAACTGCCAAACTAAACTAATTTTCTTAATACTGATGTTTCCCTTCTATGTAAACATTCAACTACTTTATCCTCTTTTTCAAAAAGAAACATGATTACTCAAATATGAAAAGTACCACTCTTCAAGAGAAGGGGCTTTAAGACCCTGATTTAAATATATTTTGAGCGTCTCTTTATGGCAGTGTCCCACAGTCTTTCAACACGAACTTTTAGCGGTGAAGCAGTCACTAACCCGTACCAATCCTTTTTTCCCTCTGGAACCTACGTCTTTGGCTAGGGAACTTCCTTTGTAGATGACAATTTTCTTGTTCTCTTGCCTACACAAGCTCTTTTAAACAACCAGCCTCAGTACAACTTCAACTACTGCCACATAAATCGGATCTTGGAGATGCAGCACAGCTGATGAAATGTAAATGACCTCATTGCTGAGGCAGGGGGTGGGGAGGACTGTGTGCCAGCTCTCCAGATCAATTCCCAAGTTTATATTTTCACAAATCTTTTTATGTACAGTTTGATTTTTTAACATTTTAATGAGCAAAAAAGTGAATCTATAGTAGCCAGTCACCACAGTTAAAGTGCAGGGCATGAACTAGATCCCAGGAGGGAACCAGTCCACCATGTCACCACTGGCTTTAGGACATTCGCCACCTGGTTCCATGTCCCCAGGTTCCAACTCTTTTCATAATCAAAACACTGCTGACATGATAAACCCCAGACGGGTTTTCTAAAATCCCTCCCAATCAATATATCCAACACATAACTTATTGGAGACAACGCGGAGCTCATTGATTAAGGTGAGTTCAGTAGCAAAGTTTTCAAAATAAATGAGACAAGAATACAGCGTTCAACCCCTTTGTGTCACCAGACAATTTATGAAATAGGCAATTTCCAAAAGGGCTTTTCTTCCTAACAAAATATATGATACTTCATGTGGGAAGAAAGAAGAGCAGAGGGGGCAGGGAGGAAACGTGGGTCGAGAGACAGTTACAAGCCTTTCAGTTATGCACATGCTGAAGAGCAGATGCAGAAAGTAGTAGAAAAGCAACACCCACAAAGCTCTGCCCACAAGGAGATGCCAAGCCTCCAAGTAGGAACCAACATAGGAAATTAACACACCTCACAGTGGATATACTTGCAAATGAAATTCAGAACTGAACTCAAGATTCATCTCAGTCTACTTTGGATTCATTTCACCCAATTCAAATTCTCATCTGATCAGAAAGCCCATCAAGGGAATTTATTCCAATCTGGAGAAAATAGACTATGGTCTGCTGACACTGAGCCATTTGCTTAATAATCTAGTAAAGTTTTAAATTTATATTATCCATTATAGAATCCAACCTGGGAGCAAAACTTCAAAGACTAAATTCAATGAAGTTAACTGGGATTATTAATGAGAAGGCTAGACCAATTCACCCTGAATTTGAGATGCAAGGTGAAGGCAGAGGAAATCTTGCAACTGTCATCATTTCAGATATCAAATGTTTTGTTTTCATTGCTTCATTAAAACCCACAAACAAAAATTAGTTTTTTTTTTTTTTTTTTTAGTTTGGCAGATGAAAACTACTGGCAAACACAGATATACACACCCCACAAATAAAAGCCATCTGAAGACAAAAGCACAGGCTGGTGATGGTGTCCACTGAGTTACACAATTGCTGGGAGATGAGGCACATTCTCAATAGTTCAAAGGGAGGGAAATGTGTGCATGAAACATGTAAATACAGGAAAGGGATAGCCTGAATAAATGAATATATTTTAAAATATGTAAAGCCACAATTAGCCTCTTTGTAGCTTGCTGAAAGCTGATGTAGCAGTTGATAATTTATTTTTGTCCCCAGAAAAAGAGAGTGAAGAAGGGAGAGGAGGAGAGACAGTGGGAGAACCTTTCCTGGCTTTCTTACATCTAACTTACTTGGTTCATTTCAAAATGCAGGTGTGTGGTGAAAAGATCAGTGGAGCTCAAAGTCTAAAATAAACTCTGTTTAAATTTTTTTAATAGCATGAGGGAAATGCTGACCCTCTAAGTCCTGCAGTGGAGAGTAATGCCACTGACTTGAAAGAAAAGCTTTTGATTGATGATCTTGAAATTCAAGTTGAAAGTTAAAAACAGGACACACAAAAAAAACCCAAACACACAAAAAGCTAACAAAATTTCTACTTTAAAGCCATTTCAAGTTAAAAACAGGACCTCCAAGTGAAAGCGAACAAAGGTTTTAAATGCTTATGATTAAGAAGGGTAACACAGTTGTTCTCGAAGGCTTCATTAGCACCAAGTTCAAGAATGTCGATCACAAGTTCCCCAAATGTGAAAACAAGAAATAAAATTGTTCTCCTTCACTATAAATGTCAAATTAAATCTAAGATCCATACCGTAATTACAACCAAATTTTTATTTTTTCAGTGAGAAAAAGAAGCATTGAATAAAGGATTTTACAGAAAGGCCT